TATGTGATGACCTGACTAGTCGTCGCATGAGTTACCGCTCTGTTTCCTTCATTTCTGCTTTTTATGCTTCGTTATCCGTGTTTTGTGGTATCAGGTTGGTCGGATTGAATCTAGAAAGTATTTGGCTAGTNCGTTTGTTTAAGTTGGGGAAGATGTGTCGACCCGGCCAGTCGTCTCATGAGTTACCGCTCCGTTTTCCCTATTTCTGCTTTGTTACGCTTTGTTTATCCGTGTTATGTGGTATAGGGTTGGTCGGATCGAGTTCGGTAAAGGATTTGGTAAGTTTTGAGACACTTAGTCTCTTTAGAGTGAGTTTAAGTTGAAAAAGTCAACCGGGTGTTGTTTTATGTGCTATAGGGCTCGATGTGAGTTCCGATGGTTCGGTTAGCTTCGGGAGGTGATTTGTGACTTAGGAGCATAATCGGAATGAATTTTGGTGGTTCGTAGTAGATTTAGGCTTGAATTGGCGAAGTTGATATTTTGGCGATTTCCGGTTGATAGGTGAGATTTTGATATAGGGGTCGGAATGGAATTTCGAGAGTTGCAGTAGTTCCGTCGTGTCATTTGGGATGTGTGTGCAAAATTTCAGGTCATTCGGACGTGGTTTGGTTGAGTTTTTTGATCGAAAGCGTAATTTGGAAGATTTTAGAAAGTTTGGCTTGAATCCGATGTGTTTTGGGTGATTTAATGTTGTTTGATGTGTTTTGGTGATTGTAACAAGTTTGAATAAGGTATTGGAATATGTTTGTGCTTTTGGTTGAGGTCCCGGGAGCCTCGGGGTGATTTCGGGTGGTTAATGGAGAAGTTGAGATGTTATTGCAGTTGCTGAAATTGCTGCTTCTGGTGTTTTTGCACCTGTGGTTTGGGGACCGCAGGTGCGGCGCTGCACGTGCGGAAAGGGAGCCGCAGAAGCGGATTTGGGAGGAAGTGTCATGTACCGCAGATGTGGTAGTTTGATCGCACCTGCGGAGTCACATGTGCGGAGAGTTGACCGCAGATGCGGATTTGGCCCATTAAGTGATTTCCGCATAAGCGGGAGAAGAACCGCATATGCGGTACCGCAGAAGCGGTAATTTTGCCGCAGATGTGAAAATGACTAGGCAAAAAGTATAAATTGTGGCCTTCGCGAATTTTGAGCTAATTTCACCATTTTTATCTCGGCTTGGGAGCTTTTCGGATGATTTGAAAGAGGGATTTCAAGGGAACTTCATTGAGGTAAGGAATTTGGACCTAAAACTCGTTCCTATGCTATTATTTCATGGATTAGAGCTAGAAATCGTGGAAATTAAGGGTGAAAATTGGCGAAACTATGGCTTGAGAACTTAGGCCTTTGGTTGAGGATTTGGTGGACCATTTGAGGTCGGATTTCTGAACTTTTGATATGCATGAACTCGTAGGGAGATAAGGAATCTATTAATGTAAAAATTATTGAATTCCGAGACGTGGGCCCGGGGGTCAGGTTTTGGTAATTTCGAATTTTGTGTAGTATTTTGATTATTTTTGCTTGGACTTCGTTCCCTTAGTATATTTTGACGTCCTGGTTCTAATTTTGGATAGATTCGATGCATGTGGAGGCCGATTCGAGGGGAAAAGGCATAGCGAGCTAGTGATTTAGCCAGTTCGAGGTGAGTAATGATTGTAAATGATGTTCTGAGGGTTCGAAACCTCGGATTGCACATCGTAGTGCTATGTTGAAGTGACACACACGCTGGATGACGAGCGTGGCGTCGTGCACTATTTGGGAGTGTGACTTTGTCCGTCCCGAATAACTATTTTATCACGTATTTTACTGAAATCTATTTGCTATTATCATGATTTGGGTTGAATGCCATATTTGTGCCTTGTGCCAACTATTTAAACCCTTCAGGGATTTTTATTGATATTTCCTTACTATTTTGACTTTATACTTGAACTCAGTCATATTATTTTCCACTGTTTTACTACTCAGCCATGTTTACTCAGTTTTATGACTTAAATGATATTTTAAATGATGTTTGGGCTGAGAAACACTATTTTACTACTGCCCGAGGGGCTTGTGAGGATTTTTAACTGAGTAAGGCCGAGGGCCTGTGTTGTGAGGAAACACTGATACTGATTTGAGGTCGAGAGCCTGAGATATGTATGCCACGAGGTGGCTTGATTAATATGAGGCTGAAGGCCTAGTTTTGATGCCACGAGATGGCTTGTTATTGTGCTTGGGCCGTAAGGGGCCCCTCTAGGAGTCTGCTCACCCCCAGTGAGCGCGGGTACCCATTGTGATGTGAGATTGAGCCCGACGGGCTAGTATTGTTCTATGTGATTGCCCGAGGGGCTGGTACTGTCTGAGATGTTGCCCGAGGGGCGGATTTGTTGATATTGTGCCCGATGGGTGAGCCTTTATGTGTTTACTTTTCATAATTGACTGTCAATTACTTGCTTAATTATTGAAAAAGGCTTTTCATGAAACTACATTTGAGTTAAAGGATTTTACCTATCTTTCACTGATTTACTGATCTTAAATGGTTTTACTGCTTCATTATAGAATGCTTTGTGCCTTACATGATTTCTTGCTTGCAGTCTTTATTTACATTTGTTACTCACTGAGTTGGAGTACTCACTTTACTCCCTGCACCCCTGTGTGCAGATTCAGGCATTGTTGATCCTGCCAATGCAAGTTGAGAGCTCCCGATAGATATCGGAGTCCACGAGGTAGTTGTTTGACGTCCGCAGTCCCGTGTCTCTCCTCCTTTGTCATTTCTATCTCTTTTCAAACATTTGTACTAGCTTATAGACTTAGCAGACTTATATTATGACTTATAGATGCTCATGACTAGTGACACCCCGATTAGGGTTGTGTTGGGTTGTACTTCCGCATTTTATTGATGTTATCTGCTACTTCGTATCATTAATCATGTTTAGACTGTTCTTAAATGCTTAACTGTTAAAAATTGGAAAATGGGAAGTGTCAGCTGGCCTTGTCTTCACGAGAGGTGCCATCGCGATCGGGTCCGGGTTTGGGTCGTGACAAATTATTATGATCAATGTAATTTGTTTATTGTTTTGATTTATCAAAAGGTACGACTCTATTTAGAGTTAGTGTATGCCTAATAGATTGGAAAATAATGAATAACATTTGTGAATAATAATTAGTTCATAGAATCCATGACTCGGTTTTGGGTTTGATGATACCCCTTTATGTAAGCTTATAAGTTACATGTGAAAACCTGGTTGGTGGATTTTGTATTCGTCACATGAAATAGTTTAAGCGGAATTATAAAGGATTTAATTAGTTAATTGAATTAAATTTTCAGTGATTTAATTTAATTAACTGGTATTTAAAATCTTAACATGGGGAGTTAAAATAAGTGTTAATGAATTTTTGAAATTCATATTGAGGAGTTCAACTGCGGTTTTTAGTGAAATAAATTGCAATTAATTATATTATGAATTAATTCATGCTAATTTTGAATTAATACTATAATTAGTAGCCTTTTATTATTTCTGTGGTCCCTGCTATACCTAGTAAAAACCTGGACAGACTTGGGTAAAAAGTAGCTTGAGAGAAAAGTTATCCTTTTGAGTTAGAGTAGGATTCTACTTGCAGAATCCTACACGTTTTTGAGCCCCTATTGTGGCTTAATTTCGGGTCTATTAAAGAAAGACTAGTTTCACCTACTAATTGACCTCTTAGTTGTATTGTTCTTGCGCACTCAAAAGCAAAATCGTCCAAGATTTTACTAGGCAAATAGCAGAAGACTGCAACCCTGGATTTTTGTTGTTTGGAGGATTTATGCAACTACTTCAAGAGGTTAGTGCTTCTAATCTCGTTATTATTGTGTTGTCTAGTTTACATGTATTTGATGCTTGGATTGTATGCTTGCTTCCGCAGTGGTGTTATATTTAAATAACAGTTTGTTTAAATTATGTTTTTGCTGAATAGCAATTTTTTTTTGATAAAAACGTGACTGTTTTTTTGAATGTTATTAATTCTGTAATTATGGGTTAATATATATATATATGCATAAACAGTGAACTAATACCATTAATCTGTTTTAGTTGCGCTCTGTCTATAATCAGTGTTATATTAATAAAAACTTGACTGTTTTGTATGATATTAGTTCTGTAATTTTGGATTAATATACAGAATTATGAACAGTGGTGTTTTTGTCTAGTGAAAAACATACTGTTTTTACAATTCTGTTTAAACACATTTTTATTAAATAAAAAAATTATTTTGAGTTCTAAAATCATGTGTTAACATACATCAGTATATTATGTGATTTAAACAAGTCAAAATAATTAAAAACCCTTAAAATGCCAAAAACAAAATTCTAGAAATTTTAGAATTCTGAAATTCTATCGAACTCCGATTGACCTCAAATTTGGTAGGTTCATCGAAAATGTCCCCAATGAGCAATAGTCATGGGCTATGCCAGTTTTTGGGCCTTCGGGGTCGTTTAGATGAGTTTTGGGACATTTTTCTATTTCTGAAAAAAAATTAATAAATTTTTTTAAAAGAAATCTGTGATGTTAGGGTTCAATTCCCATTGTTTCCAATCATATTTTACAGTAATATAATGAATTTATATGCTGACATAGGTCTTTTTCCTCATCGGATAAATTAATTATAGATGATTACTATAGTTTTTGCCTCTAGTTATTTGATTACTTGTATTAACTCTCCAACTGAGTTACATGTTGATTGAATGAAACTAGAGTTTATAAAAGTGATATTTACCTATCTTAAATTAAAAGTTTACTCTCTATGTGAGTTGGTCCTGTTTAAATTTATGGGGTTAATATCTTATATAACTCATATATTTTGCATGAATAGTTAAGTTTCCCTAACGAATTTAGCTGTTCAATGAGCATGGTTATATGTGTAATGTGCTGTTTGAATTTAATTATTCTAAATACATAACTAATGATCTATTTAATGTGAATATCTCTCAGATTAACCATGTCTTCATTCAACCCACTTACCTCAATTTTGAACCAAAACAAGTTAGAAGGACCGAATTATGTTGACTGGAAAAAGAAACCTTGATATTGTCCTAACTGCTGAAGGTTACAAATTTGTAATCACTGAGGAGTGCCCAGAAAAACCTGAAAATGCTACTGATGATCCGGTTAATGCCTATGACAAATGGGTTAAGGCTGATGAGATGGCGCGATGTTACATTCTTGCCTCTATGACGAATGTTTTGCAACATCAACGTCAGTCTATGGGGTCTGCTTATGATATGCTCGAAAATCTCAAAGAGATGTTCGGTGAGCAAAATTGTGCAGCTAAGCATACAACCATGAAAGCCATTTTGAACACCAAAATGGCTGAAGGATCATCGGTCACGGACCATGTTCTGAAGATGATGAGTCTTCTGAATGAACTGGAGATCCTTGGAGCTGTGATTGATAAGGAGTCTCAAGTTGATATGGTCCTGCAGACTCTGCCTGACAGTTTTCAATAGTTTCGATTGAACTATAATATGAACAAAATGGATTTGTCACTAGCGAAATTGTTGAATGAGCTGCAAACGGTAGAATCTATTATCAAACAACAAGCTCCAGTTGTGGCACTCAATGTTGAGAAAGCTTCGGTTTCTAAGTCAAAAGGCAATAAGAAAAAGAAGAAGGCTCAAAAGGTTCTGGCACCTGGTGGTGCAACTGATGTGAAAAAGCCCAACGACAAGTGCTATCATTGCAAGCAACATGGGCATCACAAGAAGCAATGCTCTACCTATCTAGCAAAAATGAATAAGCAAGATAATTCAAATTTAAATGTCGTTGAAACTTGTTTAGAGGCTGTTTCTACCATGCTTTGGTGTGTAGATTCGGGAGCCACTAATCACATCTGCACTACTTTGCAGGGGTTTCAGGAAATGCGGTGGCTAAGTGAGAATGAAGTTTGCGTTTTTCAAGCCAATGGCGAGCCAACACCCGCTTTAGCTTTAGGAGATATTAGAGTTTCGTTTAGTAGTGATAGAATTTTAGTTTTAAAAGATGTTCTCTATGTACTTTCTATTAGAAGGAATTTTATTTTGGTTTAGAAAATAATGGATGCTGGTTATAATGTTTACTTTGCTAATAACTCGGTTGTTATTATGATTAATAAACGTTTTATCTACATTGTTGCTAGAGTTGTGACTACCCGGCCAGTCATCTCATGAGTTACCGCTCCGTTTCCCTATTTCTACTTCTTATTGCTTTGTTTATCGGTTCTATATGTGATCGGGTTGGTTGGCTCGGGTTCGGAAAGGATTTGGTAAGGTTTGAAATACTTAGTCTCTTTTGAGGAAGCTTAAGTTAGAAAAGTCAACCGGATATTGACTTATGTGTTAGAGAGCTCGTATATGAGTTCTGATGGTTCGGATAGCTTCGTGGGGTGATTTGGGACTTAGGAGCATGATTAGAATGAGTTTTGAAGGTTCAGAGTAGATTTAGGCTTGAATTGGTGAAATTGTATTTTTGGCGATTTCCGGTTGATAGGTGAGATTTTGATATAGGGGGTAGAATGGAATTCTGAGAGTTGTAGTAGTTTGATTGGGTCATTTGAGTTGTGTGTATTAAATTCCAGGTCATTCTGACGTGGTTTGGTTGGGCTTTTTATCAAAAGTGTAATTTAGAAGATTTTAGAAACTTAGGCTTGAATCCGATGTGTTTTGGTTGATTTGATGTTGTTTGAGGTGTTTTGAGGATTGATATAAGTTTGAATAAGGTTATGGGTCATATTTGTGTTTTTGGTTAAGGTCCCGGGGGCCTCAGGGTGATTTCGGATGGTTATCGGAGAGTTTGGGAAATTTGAGAAGCTGTAGATTTTTCTATTCTGGTATTTTCGCACCTGCAGATGGGGAACCACAAGTGCGATGCCGTAGATGAGAGGAAAGGACCGCATAAGCGGTCAAGGAAGAGAAGGTCAGGAGCCGCAGATGCGGATGGCTGACCGCACCTGCGATGGCGCAGGTGCGACTGCTTGGTCGCAGATGCAGTTTTGGACCATTAAGTGAAAGTCGTAGAAGCGGCTCACTGACCGCAAATGTGGTACCGCAAAAGCAGTATCTGGACCGCTGGTGTGGAGTCCCTGGGTCAGAAGGTATATATTGTTTTCTTCGCGAAATTTTGCTAAGTTCTCCATTTTTTGAAGACGGGAAGCGAGCTAGGGCAGTGATTTCAAGAGAAGATCAAAGGGAATCAGTTGGGTAAGTTCCCTAAGCTTCATTATTTGGGTTTATGATCATTTTTATTGTTTAATCATGGTATTAGTGGAGATTAAGGAAGAAAATTGGGGATTAGGGCTTGAGATTAAGAGACTTTAAAATGGGAATTTGAGGGGTCATTTGGATTTTCGATTTCAGTGTTCTTAGTATGTATGGACTCGTGGAAGGATAAGGATTTTGTTGATGTAATTTTTACCGAGTTTCAAGACGTGGGCCCGGAGATCGGGTTTTGGCAATTTAGAGATTTTTGGTATTAATTGATTATTTTTGCTTGGGCTTCGCTCCCTTAGCATATTTTGACGTCATGATTTTGATTTTGGATAGATTCAATGTGAGTGGAGGCCGATTTCAGGAGCAAAGGCGCCGCAGAGTAGTATTTTCACTGGCTTGAGGTAAGCAACCATTGTTAATCTAGAACTGAGGGTACAAAACCTCGGTATTCGAATTGTTTTGATAAATGTGGTGACGAGCGTGTGCGCGTGCACCGGTAGGGATCGTGACTTGGTCCATCCTGTAGCGACAATTAAGCCGTGTATTTGATTTGAAACCTTATGATATTCCGTACTTTAGTCATTATACTGTATTATAGGCTATATGCCATATTTTGGGCCTTGTGCCGACCTGTTGAGACTCTTAGGGGAATTTCTACTATTTTTCCTCACTTTATTTGTTTGAAAGTATATCCTCAGTCACGTTTTACCTATTTATTGTTTAAAACTGGTTTATCATTTTACCTCTTAAAATGTGAGAACTGTTTGGACTGAATTCCCTGATTCCTACTGTTATGCCCGAGTGGCTGTGAGGTTAATGACTGAGAAAGGTTGAGAACCTAATAGTGAGGGTATATATATATATATATATA